GTTTTTGGACATGAGACAGACTACAAAGACTGTGGCGGAGATCACTGCCAAGTTCCGGGAGAGGGCTCTTTTGGTGCCCCACTATGCAGGAGGTGATGATATGAGGAGGACCCGCTATCACGACTTGTTGACAGCCGACATCCGAGAGCATGTCAACTTCTCGGCATGCCCGACCTTGGACTCAATGATTTCCAGGGCGCGGGAGAGGGAGATCGATTTGGAGCACCTCAGGAAGAGCAAGGCTGAGACTGGGCAGGTTACAGGGGTTTTGGGGAAGAAACCCAAGGGATTCGACTCTAGGTCAAAGGGCCAGTAGCTCCAAGACCACTGTGGAAAATGCGGTCGGTCACACGAAGGAGCTTCTTGCATTAGGTCGGGTTCCAGCTGCTATAAATGCGGCAAGGCTGGGCATTTTGGCAGGGATTGTATTGTCCCTGGCCTCACAGTGCAGATGAAATACCTGATTTGCTTTTATTGCAATCAGAGGGGCCACAAGAAGGCCAATTGCCCTAGATTGACAGCAGTGACAACAGCAGCGCCAGCAGCGACACCGACCCAGCAGTAGCACGGGTTGCGTATGGCTGAAAGGCCAAGGTGGAGGCTCTAGTGGTGCGGAGCTGACAATTTCAATTGACAGCCGACGAGGCACGCGCTGCACCCGATGTGGGGATGGGTATGGTTCCTTCTCTTACTTCTTTATGATTATGTCGGTGTGATTTTGATATGTTATGTGTACGATCTGTTTAGGATCATTCCATGTGAATGGTATTCTAGTTCAGGTGTTGTTTGACTCGGGTGATACCCGATCATTTGTTTCTCTTGCTCTAAGCAAGAATTTTCCTGAGTCTTCGGGCATGTTGGACTGCCCTGTAGAGGTCGAGATTGCGGACGACCGATTAGTGCGAGCATTAGAGGACTATTAGGATTGTGTACTAAGGTTGTTCGAGGAACATTACCTGGTACACTTAGTTCCCATACCTTTGCGAGGGAACAAGGTTATTATTGGTATGGATTGGCTAAGCCCCAATGGGGCAGTGATCGACTGCGCGCAACAGTTGGACCAGGGTGAGAAGCCACAGCAAGAACCAGCTTTATGTTCAGCAGCGAGAGCGAGGCGCTACCTTCAGCAGGGTTGCATAGGATTTGTTGCCTATGTTACGGATACCCGGGAGGCGGGTAAGGCGATGGTGGGTGATGTGCCCGTGGTATGGGAGTTTCCAGATGTATTCCTCGAGGAGTTGCCTGGGATGCCTCCGGAGAGGCAGGTGGAGTTCAGGATCGACCTCATCCCAGGTTCGGCTCCGATATCCAAGGCACCATATCGGTTGGCTCCGCCTGAGATGCAGGAGTTGTCTACATAGCTGCAGGAGTTGTTAGACAAGGGATTCATCATACCGAGCAGTTCACCCTGGGGAGCCCCGATTCTATTTGTAAAGAAGAAGGACGGGTCACGCCGGATGTGTATAGATTACCGAGAGCTGAATAAGGTAACGGTGAAGAACCATTACCCACTCTTGAGGATTGATGACCTCTTTGACCAGCTACAGGGAGCGTCTTGGTTCTCTAAGATTGATCTGCGTTCAGGATATTATCAGATGAGGGTCAGAGAAGAGGATGTGCAGAAGACTGCGTTCCGGACGTCCTATGGCCACTATGAGTTCGTGGTGATGCCTTTCAGGCTCACCAATGCTCCTGCCGTATTCATGGATCTCATGAACCGCATGTACAGACTGATGTTGGATCGGTCTGTGATAGTTTTCATCAATGACATCTTGGTTTATTCCAAGACACGAGAGCAGCATGAGGATCATTTGCGGGAGGTTTTGGATACTTTGAGGAGGGAGGACTTATATGCTAAGTTCTCCAAGTGTGAGTATCTGTTGCACGAGGTGCAGTTTCTTGGGCACCTCGTCAATCAGGACAAGATTTCAGTGGATCCGGCCTAGGTGGAGGCCATGATGAGGTGGGAAGTCCCGAGGCCTCCATCTGAGATTTGGAGCTTCCTAGGGCTGGCAGGCTACTATCGGAGATTTATTTAGGACTTCTCCAAGATAGTCGTACCTCTGACCAGACTGACAAGGAAAGTCGTAGTCCTTCGCTGGGGGCCTGAGCAGCAGGCTGTGTTTGAGACATTGAGACAAAGATTGTGCGAGGCGCCAATCGTAGCCCTACTAGAGGGCATGGAGGATTTTGTAGTGTACTGCGATGCGTCCATCTCGGGTTTGGGTGCGGTATTGATGTAGAGAGGGCATGTTATTGCTTACGCTTCGAGGCAGATGAAGCCTCACAAGGAGAACTACCGGCGCATGGGAGCGGTTGTTTTGCCCTCAAGATTTGGCACCATTATCTCTATGGGGTTCGTTGTACCATTTACACGGACCACAAGAGCCCGAGGTATCTCACTGACAAGATGAATCTGAACATGAGGCAGTGTTGGTGGTTAGTTATGGTGAAGGATTATGATTGTGAGATCCTTTACCAACCGAAAATGGCTAATGTGGTAACCGATGTGCTCAGCCACAACATAGCACCAATTAGAGATATCTGCATGCGGATGATCGTGGTGACTCCGATGTTGAAGCAAATCCGAGAGGCTCAACAGGAGGCTATGAAGGAGGAACATCGGAAGAGAGAGCGTATTGTAGGTTAGGTTTCCTCCTTCCACTATGATAGCCGAGGGTTGTTGACCCTCCACCATAGGGTGTGGGTCCCCTATCATGGAGGCGTGCGCCAGATATTGATGGAAGAGGCGCACAAATCCTGATTTTCTATCCATCTCGGGGCGGCGAAGATGTATAGGGACCTTCATCTTGGTTATTGGTGGCCCTGCATGAAACGGCACGTAACATGGTATGTGGAGCGGTTCTTGACCTGTATGAAGGTCAAGGCCGAACATTAGAGGCCGCATGGCAAAATGCAGCCGTTGGATATTCCCATGTTGAAATGGGATAGAGATAGGGGTGAAATAGTCCCAACATATCGGTTGAAAGATACCGAAGGGGAGGTTAGTTCCCAGTACCGGTTGAAAGATACTAAAGGGGAGGGTAGCTCCCGGCTACCGGTTTAAAGATACCGAAGGGGAGTGTAGTTCCCGGTTACCAGTTGAAAGATATCAATGATTATGTGGTATGGGTATGATGGGGGAACTCACTAAGCTTCGTGCTTACATTTTTAGTTTTGGTTTCAGGTACCTCTTCTTCTAAGGGGAAGGAGCCGACGATGTAGCAACGCATCATACCCACACTTGTTTTCCGCGTGGAGTTCCCTGGGAATGTACTCTGATTTATTTTACTTTTGAGAAAATGGTTTTTATGGGGACATGTTTTGGATTATTGAGACAATGGTTGTGACAGGAAATAACTTTATGAATGTTTTTTTACTGATGATTTTATGTTATAACTTATTTAAAAAAACGAAATTTTTGGCCTTGAATTTGGGATGTTTCAAATTTATTCTTGACCAGGCGCCTCGTATTATAGATCACCAAATCATACATAATACTATGTAACCTTTACTCACCAAATCATACATAATACTATGATTTATAACATCATGTTACTGATATGTTTTCGCAATATCAATGCATAACCGAATTAGAAATTATAACTTATATATCTCCGTTCGAAGATTATAAGATATTATCATCTTAGAAATACTCGTGATAAAATCCATGAAGTAATATCTATGTGTGGGTTTATTGAATACTCAAAATCTGAATTTTCTAATTAGTCATCAGTATTCTACCAATCCCATGAAATCTCCAATCTTTATGGACAATCTACAATTAATTCATCATAGTTTCAATTTTGTAAAATCCCAAACACCATGGATAAAATTTTCATTTTTAAAATAAAAAACATCAATTTTAACAAAATTACATCCAAGGCAACACATTTGTTCATAAACCATTATTCTGAAATCAGTGTTAATAGGAATAAATCCTTAATGATCAAATAGATTAAAACAGGTAGACAAGAACACAATATGATCAAACTAGTGTTGAAGGATTAATAGTCACGCCTCAGAAGAGCTCAATGAAGAATTTCTTCTATAGAGGCGTAAAATAGGGTTACAAAGATGAATATGATAGTTAACAAAAATACGTAGCATGCATGCACCTTATATACTATAATCCTAGCAGTAAATACGAGTAGACATGCCCAACTCGTTTATACAAAATGGATTTAACAAAATAGTTCGAATGACGCAACACTAAATCCTCAACAATCTCCCCCTTTGCGTCAATCGAGACCATAGCCATTTAGTTATTGATTCGCTTTTGCACATCGTAGACCTTGGGAATAAAGCTCAACAGCATCTTGCGAACATGAATATACCATGTGATCAGATCCGTGAAACACTTCACGTCGTCCTTGTTGTTGCCCTAAATTTCGCAACCACCTCCAGAATAAACTCCAGACAAGAAGTAGTAAACATGTGTTCGTCTTCGAGATGAAAGTATAACTTGTGTCGATCTGCTCCTGGACGATCTCTAGACGTGTACACCACAAACCATCCTTCTATGTAAATTTATCCTGGCGTGAGCTTCTCAAAGTCTTTCGGAGCTTCCTTTAGAACAACACTTGGTTTTTGCCTCAAAACAGTGGCAATCTCCACATCCATCATTCCAACTTCTTGAATATATGACTTGATAAAAAGTTGAAGATGCGACACCCGAGGTTCGTACTTCTCCTTGTTGCTCAATAAAATATTATAAATCACCATCCAATAATGGGGGTTCAAGCAAGGCAAGTCTGCGAGAGTGAATGCGTAGGCTTGAGATGATGATCCTCTCAAAACCTTAAACTTTGCATTAGGGAAGCTTTCGGTCTCGATTGGCCTAGTGACCTTCACAGCAACAATCTTACTCTCACTCCAAGTCTCGTACTGGGGCTTCATGTGCTTCAAGTAAAAGGAAAACAACATTTGATCCGCAGTTCTGTCTATGAAAGGTACATTAGCAACCTTTACAAAGGCACGAAACCTGAACGCCTTTGGTGTCATAGGTATAGGTCCAATTGTGAATCATGTGTATTTTGGATCTCAAAGGAAGCAATTGGATCCAACCAATACTGGCTTGGCATATCCATGGCTTGGTTTTGAATTCGCTTCAGGTTCCACTTAGGAAATAATAACATTTTGCTTTTAAGTGTGGTCTGAGCTTCCTTTTCAGCTCTTTCTTTCTCTTTTGCCTTTCTGACGATGCGAGTATGTTCGTCTATCTCTGCCTCGTGAGCCTTCCACCTTTTGAGCTCAGCCTCATCAGGCTCTTCGTCATCGATATCATCAATAATGGTTTCTTCACTGAATAGCTTTTCTTTTCTCTTTGGTTCTTTCTTGATGACAAGAGGTTTGATTGGAGATTTAGGGGGTTCATTCGTTTGAACTTTGGAGCTGCCTTCTCCTCCTTGTTTATGAAAAGACACCGGTTTCGAAACACCCTCCAAATGGTGTAACGTAGCAAACACCAGTCTTAGCATTTCAGACAAATGCTTCTTTACTGTTATGGAGATCATGGGATCACGAGTCTTAGTGATATCAGAGAGCAGTCTAGTAACGTTGGAGATACAAATGTGCGTGAGTGCCTTCTCTGCTAGAAAATCATCGACCTGCTTTTCATCGTATTGAATCTTGGTTTCCAAAACCTTACACTTTTCCTCCTTGATGGCGAGAGCATCAATGATCTTATTTTCTATCGACATATCCTCCTGAAGCTTTGTGAATTTTGCACGGATAGAAGACTGGAATGCTTCATGATCAAACTGAAATACCTTGTGAAGCTCAACAAAGTTCACCTTTTCTATTTGGAACAAGGCACCAACGTTCATTGTAGGTGGTTTTGTAATCCTCCATGAATTCCATTGTTTCAGCTATTATTTTATCGACTTTTTCGGTCATTGTCTTGCAAACATCAGAAGAGTCAGAAACTGCGTTGGACAAAGTAGAGACATTGGTAAATGTTCCTTCATAACTCGCTTAAGGATTGATTCAACATTGGCTTTGGAGTAAGCCTTAGAAGTGGCGATTTTGGATGCGAGAAGCAGCTAGTCAATCTTCTCATGAAGAGATTTGAGTTCCCCTTTCGTAGTAGAGACTTCATCTTCACTATTAATCCTTATTTAAAAAGCACTGAAAGTGAATCCATCCAAATCATCATCTTCATCATCTCTGAAAAGCATTTCTGAGTCATCGGTGCGAATGGGAGAGGTATGGGGCGAAATGGTGGATTCGGTGAAAATAGAGATTGAGAGTGCAATAGTTGTGGATGGTTGAGATGATACTGGTGGTGGAATAGGTGCGATGGTGATTGGGATAGAAGTAGTTGTTTTTGGTGAGGGAGGTGGAGAAGGAACAGAATCATTAAATGGTGGAGTTACCTCATGATTCAGAGATGAAGCCTTAGTACGAAAAGGTGGTTCATTGTAAACTTGTACTACCTCCTCGTTGCGAACAGATTCTTATTCTTCAGTGCGAACGGGCTCATCTTCTGCAATATGAGCAGGGGGATCCTCCTCAATGCGAATCTTCGACTCAGTTTCAGAATCAGTATTTTCTCCTTCACGTTGAGATAGAGTAGGAGTGGGAGACTTTCTCTTTCTAGCATGTTGCTTCCTTCGCTTTGGTGCAGTAGTTGAAGCAGTAGGAGCCTTTCTCTTTTTTAAATGGAGGTTTCGCAACTTCAGAGGGTCCTTCTTTCGCAGTGTCTTTCTTGGTAGCTGTCTTTGACCCTCTACTCCCTTTCTTGGCTTTATCTACCTCAGCCAAAATTTCTTGAAATCCATTAGTCAATGGACGAGGTACTGAAGGAGTAAGAGTGCGATAACCCTCTAGAATTTTACTGGTGGGAGGAACATCACAAAACATAACCTCCAGAATCGAGCCGATGAAAGAAAAGTTTGACCTATCTGCCATAATGATACCAGTTATATGGAGTATTGCGATAAAAGCCATCAGTCCATCAGACATCATTGTAATCTTGAGCTGCTTAATTGCCTTGTTGACGACGATGGTCCAGAATCTCGCACATGAGATCTCACTGTGAAGAGTAACAGAGTGAGTGCTCTAGATAAGTTGAGCCTAGAGGATAGAACCATAGTCAACATTTTGACTAGTATACAGGCCATACATCAGACCCATAAAAAGCTTGCTTGCACAGTCATTGCCAGTGACCTTTCAGCAAAGGCTTTGAACAAGATAGTGAATAGGGCATTCCATGTAGGTGGAATATTGGGTTTCTTGAACTTGGAAACAACAGTGAGAGTTTCCTTGTACCCCATTTGATAAAACATTTCAAGGATAGTGACGTTGGGGATGGTTTTTGGGGTTGACCATGTTTTCAGACTGAGGAAACCCTAACAGATTGCAGAAACGTGCTTTGGAAATCGAGGTTGTGTGATTATGGATGTTGAAGTATATCCGTTGTTCTTCCTTGACATAGTTGGCCGTTGTGTATGCTTTGGAGAGAATCGATATTGGAACATCCTCAACTTTATTCAAAGTAGTAGTGAGAGGGGAGTATTTCAGGCACTCAATCAGTGGTAGTAGAAACGAATCATATCTAACTGGATCTAGATCGATGATGAGATTTTGATGTTTCTTAATGGCCAGAAGAGTTGAACGAGCAGTCTAGTCTTGAACAAAAGGATTCTTAGATGAAGGCGCCATTGATGAAGCTTGAAGAAGAAGATGAACAGTGGAGAGCTTTATGATCGCCAGAAATCGTTTAAGGATTTCGAAAGTGGTAAAGAGTTATGGAACCGTCAAAACCTTTATATACGATTGGATTTGGTGAGGAAAATCCGGAGAGAGTATCTTGAATATTGAACCATCGCCTGAAAAAGCGTGATTTGACAGGCGTGATAAGTCAGAAGCATGCGTCACGTAGCGTATTAGTATCTGTCCGTTCAACTTTTCACACGCCCATTTGAATTCTTATCTTTTAAAACTTGTCGTGTCAACTCAACTCCTTTCGTAGTGAAGAAAGCCTGTTGAATTCAACTGTGAACCTGAAAGTTATTTGTAACAACGAATTAGACTTCTGGAAATCACTAAGATCTTCGTGCAAGAGTGTCAAAGAAAAAGAAATAAAACGAAGTTTATCTGTGGGATCTTGTGATGTCTAACTAGAGACATAAATCTACTGATCCCAGTTAAAGATCTCTTCCTTCATAGTCAAGAGAGACTAAAAAGTGTCTATGTGGTTTCCTGTTGAATACAATCAAATGTTTGATGAGAAACACTAAAAGGCATATTTTAATAAGGCTTATAAAGGTGGTTCATCCTTCAACTAAACTACGAACTTCGTTCAAGAGTGTCAAAGAAAAAGAAATAAAACGAAGTTTTATCTGTGGGATCTTGTGATGTCTAACTAGAGACACAAATCTACTGATCCCAGGGAAAGATCTCTTCCTTCATAGTCAAGAGAGACTAAGAAGTGTCTGTGTGGTTTCCTGTTGAATACGATCAAATGTTTGATGAGAAACACTGAAAGGCATCTTTTAATAAGGCTTATAAAGGTGGTTCATCCTTCAACCAAACTACGAACTTGACATAAGTGCGAAAGTTGGACGAGGCACTCGTGTGACCAGTGTAGTTAGTTGAACGAGTAGGTTTGGAATCTATTTAAGTGACTTGGAAAGATATTGAAATCTCAAAAAAAAAAATGATCCATTGGAAGAAATGTCTTGGGACTAGAACACTTCATTAGGATCTCTCAAACGAAAAGAGATTTCATGGTACTGACCACGAATGTGGACTTTCGTTAATTCTTGGGCAAAAATACTAGAACGTTTGATTGTTCACCATCAACTCATATAAGGTATTGAATTTTCGGTTTCACTCAGTTCGTGGTAGAATGAAACTAATATCATTAACACAAATGTTTATGTAACCATAGACCTCAGTGGTAATTTCTGAGAGTCTCATGGTTTACATGTATGGATGCGAAAGTGATGGAGAAGATAATAGATGGTTACAAGAAGGTGAAAGTACCTCTGCAATGCGAAAGTGAGCATGCAAATAACTCTTAACTCAATGTGTGAAGAATAAGGTAGCTCATGACTAATGTGAATTCACAGCCTGATTTGGAAGAATTGATTGGTGGTATCAACTCTTTAAGGCTTCACAGTTGAGTCGTGGAGGCTTAGGTCAACATGCAACAACATGCTTCTAGGGACACTTAGCTAATACATAAGTAAGGAGATTTATATCTGCCCCATCACACGAGTTGATGAATGTTACAAACATCTTCGTCTATGATCTTGATGTGAATTTATAGTTTTTGGAATTTTTAATATTTTTTTATAAGAAAAGAAATACAAATAAACACAAATTAAAATATTTTTCAGATGTTGATTTTTCTGAAAAACAATAAAATAAAACAAATAAATTATTTTTGGTTTTTGGAGATTTTCTGAAAATGAAATAAAATTAAAAAAATAAATTTATATATATATATATATATATATATATATATATATATATATATATATATATATATATATATATATAATTGAAAATAAACATAAGCAAAAATATACAAAACGTACAAAAGGATATATGAAATACCAAACCACAAATGAATAGTGCTCGGCGAACTACTACGAACGTTCGCATTAATTCGCATCCATAAAATACACTGAATGAACAATTGACTGTGAAAGCCTGCGAGCGTTCGCACTGATTCACAGTGAAGATTTTATGAGTGCAAAAGTGGATTTGGTACTGAATTAGCTTCCATCATTTCTAGCCCTTGAAGGATTCTATTAAATGTTGCTTCAGGTATGGCCTTGGTAAATATGTCAGCCAATTGATCAGTGGATTTTACGAAATGAATCTCAACATTACCATCTTCCACATGATCCTTGATAAAGTGATACCTCATTGTTATGTGTTTCGTATTTGAGTGTTGCACTAGGTTGTGACAAATGCGAATGGCGCTTTCGGGGTCACAATAAAGAGAAATTATTTTCATGCTTAAGCTATAATCGCGAAGTTGGCTTTGAATCCAAAAGACTTAAGATGTGCACGAAGCTGTAGCTATGTATTCAGCCTGAACTATTGACAACGAAACACATGTTTGTTTTTTTTTTATTGCCAACTCACCATCTCGCCATCAAGAAATTGGCATCCACCAGTTGTGCTTTTTCTATCGAAACCGCAACCGCCTAAGTCAGCATCTAAAAATGCTTGTACGAAAAAACTTAAGTTCATAGGATACCATATTCCAAGAGATGACGTTCGTTTTAGATACCGTAAGATATTCTTGACAGCCACCATATGAGGTTCGCGTGGGCTGGCTTGGAACCTAGCACAATAACAAACTCAAAACATAATATCTGGTCTACTAGTTGTTTGATACATGAGTGAACCTATCATCTGACGATAAAGGGTCATATTAGTAGCTGCTTTATCCAACAAAGGAGTTAGTTTTGTTCTGAATGCCATTGGAACCTTCATCTTTGAGTCTCCCAACATTCCAAACATAGCAAGTAGGGTCTTCGTGTAAGCCTCCTGATTGATGAAAATTCCTTCCAGTCCCTGTCTAATGTTTAATCAAGAAAAAAGTTAATTGGACCCATTGAGCTCATTTCAAACTTAGTTTCCATTAGCTTTCGGAACTTAGTTGTTAGGCTGGGATTAGTAGATCCGAAGATGATGTCATCAACATAAATTTGTACGATCATCAAGTGGTCACCCTCTTTGTATAGAAATTTGGGTCAACCGAACCTTGCTTGAATTTGGACATTTTATGAAAACGATTTAGTGTTTCATACCAGGATCTTGGAGCTTGCTTAAGACTGTAAACTGCTTTGTCAAGAATATAATAGTGGTTGGGATATTTTTCGTTTACAAATCCATGTGGCTTCTCCACATAAACGACCTCTTCTAGTTCGCCATTTAAGAATGCACACTTCACATCCATTTGAAAATTTCAAAATTTTTCTGTGCAACATATGCCAAGAAGATGCGAACGGATTCTAGCCTTGCAATGGCTGCAAAGGTCTCTTCGTAGTCAATCCCTTATTCCTGGCAATAACCTTTGACCACAAGTCTAGCTTTGTTCCTGATCACATTCCCTTCTTTATCTATTTTATTCTAAAACACCCATTTTAAACCAACAACCGATGCATCCGGGGGACTTGGAATCAGTCTCCAAACTTTATTCCGTTCAAACTCATTGAGTTCATCTTGCATTGCTTCCACCCATTCAGAGTGATCGAGAGAAGTTTTGATGGTTTTAGGTTCAATTTTGGATATGAACGAATTAAACATACAAAATTCTACTTTGGAGAATAATGTAGTTTGCTTCGCTTTCAGTTGAGAATGGGTAAGGAAACCTATAGAGGATTCACCAATAACTTGAGCTTTTGGGTGATCTCTTGTCCATTTAGTCATAGGAGGATAATTTGGATCTAAGGATGGATTTAGCTCAACATTTACTTCCTCAAATTTAGATTAAATAGATTAAGCGTCTGAGTCATCATTCGTTTCTTTATTCTTCCCCTTGAATGATGCGAAATCGTTGACCTCAGGAATTGAATCGTCACCTGTGAATGGATGTTCATGGGTCATAGTTGGTGGGGAACAATCTCCATCAGAAGGAGGCTCAGTAGAAATGGGTGATGCAAAACCCTCTTCCTACAGAGAAGCATTCGTCGTTAGAGGTGTAGCATCCTCCCCCTGGAATTGTGTGTTAGACCCAAAATTCTCCCCCTGGAAAGTGGTGGGCGTGTCCCGAGGGTCATTCGCAGTGGATGGCTACTTAGGCATGTCTTTCGCAGCATCACCGATAATCTTCTTAAGTTCATCGACTTTATTATCCGCTGCCTTAGCTTCAGATGAGATATTTTTCTCAGGTTCATCAAAGAGTAACATGAATTCTGCATACAAGTTGGACATAGGAACAACGA